ATCAGCCTTTAACACTCAGTATATGAATTTATAAAATTAATACAACATTCAGCCAATTATCAAATTTCTATCATAACTGACCCTAAACGAACTCCAAAAAATCCAATATTTTTACAGCATGCTAAACATCACATAATCAGCTTCTCACCCTAAATTCAGAATTTTTCAGCTTCAGACCAATTTATCATAATTAGAACAAATTCAGGCAGAAACACAAAATAAATTATTAATCCTATCAAAACTAGTCCAAAAATTCGAAACATTTTATGCAACAGATAGACAACCCAGATACATAACATACTCAAAAATCAGCCAAATTGGAGCACTACACAATTAATTATGCATTTAATAAGAATCTGGACAGAATTCAAAATAATTAATAAAAATAGCTAAAGGCCTTTAAAAATCACAAACATTTTACACAAGCTACATATTCATCAAAAACAGTTGCACTTAAAATGTCAAGGCAATCGGATCAATATTCAATTTATGGTGAATTTTATATTCGAAACAACGATTACAATTTTCGAAAAATCATAACTACACATATACACGTTCAAATGACACAAGGTCAACGCCATTGTGTTCGTAAAAATCCTAAGTTCCAAAATCCACAGCAACTAATCACTTACAATGAGTTCTCGTTCGATTCGTACGAATCGACGAGTTTCACATAAAATAACGAATATATATTCAAAACGAACAATTCAAACACGCATATAAGAATTCAACGAACACGCAATGCACGTACGATCATGACATAATTCACGTAAAATTAAACGAGAAGTCGAGACTCGATACTGTTCTCGGGAAACGAGCGAGAAAGGTTCGAACGATAGAAGACGGCTCGACGGGGCTCGACGGCTACGCACGGCTCACCGAGGGAAGAGCTGCGGTGGTCCCTCACGATTACGGGGTTGCTGCGACGGCCGAGGCGTCCCATCGGAGATCGTGCTGTGGAGAAAGAGATTCGCCGGAAAAACTGAAGCTAGCCGGAAAGATCTCACGTGAACAGGGAGGAGCTCGCTCGTCGCCACTAGATTCACGTCGGCGCGCGGCGGCTCACGGCGGGAGAAGGCAGCAGGGGTCGCCGGAGATTGTTCTCGTCGCGGGGAGGTTTGCTTGCGATGACGGGGTTGTTGAACCTCGTCGGAAGTCGCTAGTGCTCGATGACGGCCGGACTTGCAGGCTTCACGGTGGTCTTGCGACGGTGGCGAAAGTCCACGACGAAGAAGATGATGGCTTCCCGGATTTCATCAGAGAAGGTGGCGACGAAGCTTGGCGACGATGATGGTAACTCGATGATGAGAGGAAGAAGCCGATGGGTTGATGGTTCAGCGAAGAGATGATGACGACATATCAGAGAAACTGAACAAAAGAAAAAAAACTGCGGGGAAGGGGCTTTGAATCTGATTGTGAAGAAAAGATATATGGCTGCGGGTTTAATTTTCTGAATGTGCGTGAAGAAAGGGAGAGAACAAACATATATATATATATATATATATATATATATATATATATATAATTATAATATTAGGTTTTATGTCTTGCCCAATAAGACACATAAACACACACACTCACGGGCCGAATTAACGGGTTGGGCCGGCGGTTATCGGGCTCGGGGTTTGGTTGAATAAAACGAATCGGCTCTCGGGCTCGACTACGTAGAATTAATATGGTTTTTCTTCTTGGTCTCGATAAATCGCGACATAAATAAATTAACCGGATATGATATATATTTATAATACACACAATTTAATTTTTTTTAAATAATAATAATAATATTAGTAAAATACAAATACACATTTTATTTAAATAATAACACTTAGACAATTTCGCAATTAGTTAACATTTAGACANAATCCCAAAATTATTTAAGTCGACATCGCGACCAATAAATATTACTGAAAATATAATATTCGATAAATAGAATATTACGAAAAATCCTATAAATCGAACGGGGCGCTACAGCAGCCGTCGTCCTGACAGAACCGGCCGTGAATGCCGGGTCCGACGTGGTGCTCAACAGCGGAGGCGGATGCGAATGACGTCGGGAATCCTTGCCGTGAACTCTGGACGGGTTGTCGGAATCGAAGGTCGGTGGCGGCATCGGGTCTGTCGGCGGCGGCGACATGACCGGCAGGCTTCTTGCGGTGGTAGTATGCTTCTGCAGTCGGACTGTAAGCTGTGGGCGGGTGGCCGGAATTGAGAGAGTTGTGTGAGTTTTTGTGTGTGTGCGCGACGGAGAGAGAGATAGATAGGGGAGAGAGGAGATAAGAGAGAGGGATCGTGGTGGGTGGGTGGGAGATTTTATGGGTGGGGTCCACCTATTTGGTTGTTTGCCAAATTACATAATTGTCCTTTCTGTTATTCATTTGTCCATAATATAGTATTATAATTTACAATCTTGCCATCGCAGATCGCACCGATCCAATGACCCATAATCATTCTTATTTCTTTCACTATCTACCATTCTCATATGATCCCTTCTCTCTCTCTCTCTCTCTATATATATATATATAGGGTTGGGTTCCGGTGAGAAACGGTCTCAATGAAAGAAATGAGAATAAATAAGTTTCACAAGATCAATTAGATCTGATGGACACAATCTGTACACGGTAATTCGCGTTGGAAAACATTAAATGGAAACAGAGGGTATATTGATAATATTTTTATCACATTAACACAAATCAATGCCTCTCGCCTTACAGAACCTGCAGCCCGCAGCTGTGAAATAAATGGCACATTAATGGCGAATCCCTAGCTCGAACTCTAAGATTTCCGACCGAGATTCAGTTTCGAATTCTGAAATTAAGAGCATATCGATCAACCTCATTTAATTTGTAGCTGATTTTTTTATAATCTCGTGATCAATTTCCTGTGAATGTTGTAACCTAACTGATCACAACTCCGTTCACGACAACGAATTCCTATATCAGGTATATAATCTTAGTATTTTGTTCATTCAAGCTTAATTTAGTTCAATTATTCTTGTGTTCGAGGAGCATATGGATAAAAATTTAGTTCAATTAATTTAATTACTGACTTGTTTATGTAATAACAACAAAACTAGTACAACACCCATGTATTACATGGGTGGCGACGGTGCCTCATCCCGGACCGTTCATGGACGGATTCATAAAAGTGGGATGGGTATCCGGACAAGTCAAATCCAGGACCGTCCCGGCCGGCGCCCACCCTTACCATAAATATTCAACATATTATAGATAATCCGAACCTAAATATATTTGGATTAGAAGTAAACTAAATTTATCCAAGCCTAATAACGAAGCATGTATTTTTTACACATAGGATCCCGAAGCATGCGAGCCTGCCACGTAGGCTCAACACGTTCTCAATTAATATATAGACGGGATATATCCCAGTTTAGAATTCTAGAACGTGAACATAAATCAGTTGTCTTGCATTTTGTTGTTTTTTCTTTAGGCCGCATACACAATGGATTCGGGTGAATCACAGACAGGTACTTTTTATGTTAGATAGCTGACTATGGATACACTAGCTTGTTGTTTATAGAATGCTTTACTCATACATGAAAGAGCAGACGTGCAGTCCTCTGTGTGTTGTTCACTGTACATTATCCTATTTCATATTGTGATAATGTGCAACCTGTTCAATATTTATGTGCAATTGTATTATCACAAATGTGCAGTCAACTGACTTTTCTTGTTTTTTCACCACAAATATTCAAGGTTCACAGACAGCCGTTACACACCAACAATTTGTAGCCACGCCCGGGGAACTAAATATTGGATACCGGAGTGTGAGGAATCAACCAAACCTTACAATGTAATATACACCCGCACACGTTAATATTCATATATCACATTTAATATGAATGATAACACTGTATGTTATTGTGCCTACACGGAATAAACAATACAATTGCAGTATAACATGTATGTGGAATCGAAGTTGATGGGAATTATCACAGAGCACGTGATACACCCGGACGTTGTGTGAACCATTGACAAATGGTGCATTTTGTTATGTCGTCAAACGTTACCATTATTTAGACGTCAAACATTATAATGATATTCAGTTTTATATTGTTTTTGACCAAAAAAGATTGCAGCATATCAGATTGCGTGTAGTCTTTATCGATGAATGGTGATCACAAGCAATAAATGAATAATGCACCTCAGTGTACATCATATTGCACTTTTCATCAAATTATACTTTATCTAATAATAGTTAAATAATAGGGTATATGCAAGAACAAATTTGTGTATAAACAATATCTCTCGATGATACAACCAATGAACATATGTTTGCAAAAAAAATAGAAATATAAATAAAAATAATAAAATAATAATAATAATAACACAACATCGTAGCACAATCACTTACAATTGCACTGTAACATTGCACTTTATACAACATTGTACTGCACTTTATGTCCAAACTCACCGCACTTTATCATAAGATAAAAACAAACGTAATATGTCAACGTGTGACGTGTCCTGGAATAGACGTTCATGAAAAAATAGTTTGGCAAACTAAGATATATTTACTAAAGCTAAATGCATCCAAAAAAAAAAACAAAAAAATGATGTCTACTAGGTTCAGGAAATGCACCAATAAAGCCACCATACATGATACAACGACANACACGTTAACTATAATAAAACGTACCAACCGTCATAAGCATACCAACATGTGTTAAAAAACAGTCATAAACGTACCAACGTACGTACTTATAAAAGATGTTCAAAAAATCAGTCATAAACGTGCATCAAAATAATATATATAATCCGTCCATACAATGCAATATCCAATCCAACATGTTACGAAACAGCCCGTGACTTCACCTCCATCGTATATAGCATGGAGCTTCTTTGCTTCCATGAGGTTGACGTCTTTCACATCGTTGTTTGAAGCACATGCTATCGCATATCAATACCGCTTTCTCATACGCTTCAGTTGCCCTTTGTCGGCCTTCTTCATATTTGGGTTCCAGTTTCTCGTAATGCATCCTTTGAACGTCTCCATGTGACGCATTGCTATAACACCAGCATATCTACGTCATCAAACACCTTCAGTCGAATCCAAATCGACAACCTCTGGGATTGAAAGTGCAACAACTTTTGAAAACTTCACCATATTCATATGTCTCACAAAATTCAAGAACACGGTAATGAAACAAGATGAATGTCGGATAGAGGGTACTATGTCATCCTGATATCGACATCATAAACCTTGCCACCCACCAGTTGGTTGGTCTGTCATTCCCACATCAATAGCACGTTTATCTGCAAAATCACAAGATACACCTAAAAAACACGCATATGCACCAAGTATCTTAAAATGAACATCAGCCCATGAAAGTTGAACCAACAGAGTATAAAGCATGCGCACCAACAGAGTATAAAGCACATAATTCAGTGATTTTGAACACAAAGTTAAACCAATTCAAGTAATATATAAAAACAAAATCGATAACAAATTATAATCACGAAATAAACAGAAACAATGCTTTTGGTACTATAAATTTCCCTAAGATACAAAATCAGTTAAACGCTATTTTTTCCTTNAATAATCCATAAATCAACCATTGTTGCTTATAAAAATTGAATACTAGTGATAAAACTGAAGATATTCATACCTGGGTTCTTCGATTGTGGAGAATCCCCCATTTTATTTTTTTGAATCGCGTGAAAGGGTAACTACATATTGGCTCAAAATCTGCTCAAACAAATCGCTCAATAATGGCGGAATCGGCGGACTTCAGACATTTTAATTATCGTCTTCAAGGCAGGCGTGGATCTTAAGGTGTGCAATAATGGTCTGAACAACTTTACCCTATGCTGCAATTAGAAATACGAAAATGCCCCCTCACATACAAGTTCGGGCGTAAAATTTGGTGGTAATTACGACTATGCCACCGCGGATTCAACAGGTTGTCTACACGATCTCAGCCGTTAATTTAGAGGATCCAAAGGTGTATAATTATTCTCATTTCTTTCATTATTCCCTATTCTCATATGAACCCTTCTCTCTCTATATATCTATATATATGTGTGTGTGTGTGTGTCTGTGTCTGTGTTTTATGTAAAATTTAAAAATCATAAATTAGATAATCAACATATCACATTTATAAATTTTATTATTACTAAAATGACGATATAAATATAAACAAATTAACTTAAAAATTAATCTTTAAATTTATGCAATCTTGGTTGATTATGCCAATTAATTGGATAAAAAAATATTAATATTATTATTATAAAATTTGTGTACAAAACTTTAAAAAGTTTGGTTGTGCCATAAAAAAAATTAACTAATTTTAATAAAAAACTTGTATAATGAGGTGAAAAAAAAGAAACGAAGAGAAACAATAAATTTTAAATATATAGTTTGAAAAAAGCTCTAGAATAGAATAACACTTAATGTGTCTTCATTATTGGTTAATAGTAGCAATTATATATTAAAATAAATAAAAAATATAATTGTCATTAATGCAAAAGTACCAGAAAAGGCGGGAAAATAAAAAGAGTTTTATTAATTGCTTTGCTAGCATATATATATATATATATATATATATATATGTATGTATGTCACCTGAAAGCGAGTCACCTACCAAACATAACAATAATTTCGTTGTGTGGATTCCCTCTTGAAAGCGAGTCACCTGAAAACAACTTAGAGGCGGGAATCTTGTGCAGTGTACTCATCCGTTTTAATATAAACTCATTTCATGTTCACGCATCCTAAACACGCACCACACACACTAGGACGATAGTAAATCTCACTATACAATCATCCGCATTAACTTGCAATTTCGCACTATTTTCAAGCTATTCTTTGGAGCTAGGGCAATCCTCGGTTTGTACTGTGGATTTTCTGATTTCTCGGGGTTTCAGAGAGCTGGCCATGCGACAGCAGCGGTACGTAGTTTATCGGAAGTATATCATTGTCTGTATATTTTTTTATTATTATTATTATTATGGAATTTCGTGACTGTTTTGATGATGGCGGCACGTCTCGGGAGTACTGGCTCTGCTGAAGGTTTTAGCTGGGCCTGCGCGGACTTTAGATTTACAATTTCGTGACTGTATTTATGTAGCTTTTAGCTGAGTTTTGGCGTCTTTTCATTGTGAATTTCATATTGATGTTCAAAAGTTCGATAGAATAAAAAAATTATTCGTACGGTTTGCACTGTTGTTTGATGCAAAAGCATTAGAATTGATGGGATTGTTTCTAATTCTCGATCGTGAAAAATATAATTGATAATGTAGGATGGAATTAAGTATTCAGATATTAATAATTCTACAGAAATTCTCTAATTTGGACTTGAGTAATTTCATTTGGGAAGGTAGTATGTAAATTGAAAATCTTTTGTCCCAGCTACTATATTATTCTCTATTTAATTCCGATGTGCCTATACACATTCTATCTGTACAACCAATATACAATTTCTATTTGCACAACCTATTATTATATCTTACATAATTTGTGTTTACGAGATAATAAAGGAGAACATTTTTTGTTGTCAAGAGACGGTGCCTGAATTCCTTATTTATTTCCTTATATGGGTAAGTGTTTATTCGTTATTCATGGATAATCTATTGATGCGACTGATGATATTGCATAAACGGAGGATGATTTCTCCTCAACTGCACCATCACGTCAAAATAAAATATCAAGAGGAGACCCAATTTCACCCAATGAAAGGCCTACTGCCATGGTTTCAATGCTGCATAAGAATCAACATATGTATGCTAAAATTCACCAGCTTGAGCGGGAGGCTTATAGTTCAGTTCTAAGAACCATTAGAACTCAAGATGATGCTATTTTTAAGGTACTTTCTCTCCCAGTACTGTGAAAAATATGGATCAGTTTAACTTACAATGAGAAGCATTTAACTCAAGAGAAGAAAAGTTTAATAACTAAGCTCAGGAAAGAGTTGAGGTTATCAAAAAAAGAACATAGGTATCTCCTCAACAGGATTGATTCTGATGAAACAATTCAAAGAATAAGATTCTGATTATAACACGTTTCCTGTTTTCACTTCCTTAAAAGTCTTATGTAAAAATAAATCTTGTATTTCCTCGTTTAAATACTCTAAATGCTGGAACACGTCAGGGAGTGGAGGCAGTTAGTTAGGCCTCGACCTGGCATGCATGGTGCCGTTCAAGCAGTCCATGTTCTGAGCCTAGCCCGATCTCAGCTTCTCGAAAGAAATAGAAAATAACTTCCTCTCTATAGGCTCAATCCGTTGGTGGCCATCTTCTTTCCACCAGATGGCTGCAAAGCATGAGCCCATGATGGATGCGAAAGGCAAATGTCACAAATCAGTGAGTTTACGAAATTTCAGCAATAAAATTATAGATCTTGAAATATATCAACAGTAACTAGTTTTTGTTTATGCTAAATTATGCAGGCAAGACGTTAGCATAAACAAAAACTAGTTACTGTAGATATATTTCAAAATCTATACTTTTATTATTGAAATTTCGAAATTTCACTGATGCTTTTCGCACCCATCATGGGCTCATGCTTTGCAGCCATCTTCTGCATTTATAATGCAGGTGGAAAAAAGATTGCCCACCAACAGATTGAGCGTGTAGAGAGAAAGCTATTTCTGTTTCTTTCGAGAAGCTGAGACCGACGAGCTGGGCCCAGAATGGACTTGAACAGCACCATGCATGCCAGGTCGAGGCTCAACTGACTGCCTTCACTCCCTGACGTGTTCTAGCATTTAAAATAATTAAACGATGAAATACAAGAGTTATTTTTACATAAAGGAAGTGAAAACAGAAACCTGTTATAATCAAAACCTTATTCTTTGAATTGTTTCATCAGAATCAATCCTACTGAGGAGATACCTATGTTTTCTCTTTTTTTTTTTTTATAACCTCAACTCTTTCTTGAGCTTAGTTATTAAACTTTCCTTCTCATGTTAAAGTGCTTCTCATTGTAAGTTAAATTGATCCATATTTTTCACAGTAATGGGAAAGAAAGTACCTTAGTAATAGCACCAGCTTGTGTTCTAATGGTTCTTAGAACAGATTATAAGCCTCCCGCTCAAGCTAGTGAATTTTAGCATACATATGCTTAAACCATCACAACAGACCTTTCATCGACTGAAATTGTGCCTCCTCTTGATATTTTATTTTGACGTGTTGGTGCAGTTGAGGAGAAATCATCCCCAGTTTATGCAATACCATCAAAGTCGGATCAATAAATTGTCCATGAATAACAAACACACTTACCCCTATAAGGAAATAAATAAGGAATTCAGACACCGTCTCTTGAGAACCAAAAATGTTCTCGTTTGTTATCACACAAACAGAAATTAAGTAAGATACGAAATAGAAAATGTATATAATAGGTTGTGCAAATAGAAAGTGTATAGGCACATCGGAATTAAACAGAGACCAAAAGATTTTCAATTTACATACTAATTTCCCAAATGAAATTACTCAACTCCAAATTAGAGAATTTTTGTTGAATTATTAATATCTGAATACTTAATCACATACTACATTATAAATTCTATTTTTCACGATCGAGAATTTGAAACAATCCCATCAATTCTTCTGTATACCGTTCTACATTTGTGCATGTGCACAGAATAGAATACTAGTTTATTCTAAATAATCAAGTTAGCAAAATTAAATCATAATCCAAATTTTCCCTAGGTAAAACAATGAATATGCCTAATCAATTTTTCCTAAGCCAAATTATTCCTAATTAACCTAAATTAAATTCAATAATTTACCTAATAATCAATACATTCCAAAAATGTTACCTAACTTGAACTCGGCCACACCCCCCACTCCTAAGCAACTAAGACTCGGTCATTCACTAGCCTACCCACCCCTAGAAACCAGGAAGCAACCCTAGCAGCAGTCTCAAGCTACTAGCCGCTAACTCTAACAACCTCAAGGAGCCCTAGACCTAGTCACCAACTAACTCCCCCTTATCTCGGCCTTTCATCCCACTCCTCCAACCACCAGCAGCCCTAGTGTTCATCTATTTAAATCATGTTCTCAGCTACCGCCTCCTTCATTTTGCCACTCTAAAGTTCACGAAATTTCCTAAGTCATTTCCCAAAGATCCCCGTAACTCCCGCAACGTAGTCACGAGAGCAAGCACCCGAGAATTTACCGATAGCCACCAGCCGCCGTCCGAGAAGACCGAGCGCCATCGGGAGTTAGAGTTTATAAGAGTATAACCATAAGTTCTGATAACCCAACAACAGATAAAGACTAATAAAGAGTATATTGAACATTTTTCAAATTCCCAACATAAAGACTAATAAAGAGTATATTGAACATTTTTCAAATTCATCTTTGAAAATGTATTATCTTCACTAAATTAAAGCCATCAAAATGGGCCAAAGCCCGTAGATTGACTCGCTCAGCCCGCGGGCTGGCCCGCCAAAAAATAAAATAAAATAAGGCAACTATGTAATTGCCTTACCAAAATATAAAAAGCGTCCAAAAAATGTTAAAAAAAAATAGTTACCTGTTTTAAATACTTATGTTCATTCCAAATTGACTGAAGCTCAAGCGTACTTAAATATGAACTGTTTTTATTATTCAAGAGATACCTGAATCCGAAATGAGCCAGCTGAACTGATTCCCCAATATAATCTTTCCTCAAAGTGGCTGCAACAGCAAGCTGCCCCCAGCTCGGCGTGTAATTAACGGATACCACCAAGAAAGCAGCCAGGATTTGCTGCAGCCTCACAGAATTCCCATCCAGAGTCTCCTTATCAAGATTTGGGGGCAAATTGTCTACTATCATAATACCCTTTGAGTTACTCTTCATCATTATTTGACTAACGGCAGCAATCAACACCTCGGACACCTTAAACTCCACCAACTCCAATCCAAATACCTGAACAGAACCAAAAAAAATAAATTGCCAGTACAAATCCAGACCTGCCCCTCGAGAAAAAACCATACGGCAACTTGCCAAATCCTGACCTGTCACAGCCTTGTTCAGCAAACTACCGAGTTTCAAAACGATTCTCGATTCTTGAGACGGCAGCAGGGTTTTCCAACCCCGAATACCTCGCCAAGGAGTACCTTGCTTCAAAAGTAAGGATCTACAATAATGGTTTTTTTTCTGTCGAAGAGAAGTTCCCAAGCGGTTCTCGAGTGAAGCGTGCTACTGGAAAACGTCGGGAATTGACCGACGTGCACCAAAACACTAAAATAGTCGGAACAGTAAAGACATTGGTGTTTCATGTAGGTCATGCACTCCATAAGGAAAGGACGGATTGGGTTATGCACGAGTATCAGATTCTTGATCAGCAGTTAGCCGCTGAAGGGATTCAAGTAATTTATTTTTTTACTATGATGATAATGTGATGCATCCTTAATACTGCATTTTTGTTTTAATAACTGCAGTATATTTTGCAAGATGCATATGTGTTATATGAACTCTTGCAAAGTCGTGCTATATGAAGTCTTGCAAAGTCGTCCATAATACCCCGTGGGCCTGGACCTCTTTTGCAAGAGTTCATATAACACATATGCATCCTGTAAAATATTCTGCAGTTATTAAAATAAAAATACAGTATTAAGGATGCAGCATGTTATCATCATAGTAAAAAAATAAAATACTTGAATCCATTCGGCGGCTAACTGCTGATCAAGAATCTGATACTCGTGCATAACCCAATCCATCCTTTCCCCACGGGGTGCATGACCTACGTGAAACACCAATGTCTTTACTATTCTGACTATTTTAGTATTGTGGTGCACGGGTCGGTCAATTCCCGACGTCTTCCAGTAGCCTTTTTCAGTAGCACGCTTCACTCAAGAACCGCTTGAAAACTTCTCTCTTCGAGAGAAAATGAACCATTGTAGATCCTTACATTTTAAGCAAGATTGATCTGCACCTTTCGTCCGTTCTTGGCCTGATCGGTTAAAGGAGGGAGATTTTTTATGCATTAGAAAGAAAACAGGAGGTTTAAGCTGATTTCCAAAATTGTAAGAAGTCCTTCAGGTTTAATTCATGCAACATTTTACTCCCTCCATTCATTAAGAGAAACTATTTCAAAAGTGATCCTCATATATGAGAAAATATTCATGTTACCCTCGTAATTTTTTTTTTTTTTTAAGAAAAGAAGAATGAAAATAAAAGAGCTTGAGTTTTTCCATAAATTATAAATATCTTGCACAATCAACTCAAAGAGTACCACAAAAAACAACTTCTCAACAAACATACGTTGAGGCAATCTTTTCTTCCAAAGATATAAAAGATGAACAAATAAATCAGACGTTAGTTAAAGTATGATTTATGAAGCCCCATGAGGCTTAATTCCAATAATATTTGACTACACTCATAACCAAAACCATTTCAAATCACCCCCTATATTTGTATAAATGTTAGAAGTTACCAATTATGTTAGAGCTAGTATCAACTCCCAATTCCCGAGGAACCATTTTTCATTCTAAACTTAGAAATAAATAAATAAAAATCCAACCTCCCAACTTTTATCCAAATACCTCAAGCCTCATGTCCCTTACAATTAACCCAAAAAATTAGAACACAACAAATAAAAGAACTTTGATCCATTAGTACAAACACACACACACACATACCTTGCAGTGCCAACTTCAGCACCCTCTTAACCTCATCCGCTGAAGCTTCCTCGACGAGCTCCAAAAAAGGTTTCCCAACAGCCTAATCCATCGTCAGTCCCGCCAGGTCAGCAATCTTGGTGAAGATGGTGCGGATGTCGGAGCCTATGCCAAGAAGCGGGTGATCACGCACGCTGGGGACCGCGTGGCTGTGCGTGGTGAGCATTTCAGGGGCGTTCTCACTGAAGGCGATGATTTTGTAAGTTTTTTCGTCGAGGGCGAGTAGGCAGCCCAAGGGTTGGATTAGTTTGGCTTTCAGAGCTCAAGTAGTCGAAAGAGGAGCCCGAATTGTCGATAGCGTCTATTGATGTCTGAAGAGCTACACAGGGCACGATGTGTCTCGAAGTGGCTGAGTTGGTGGAGGGAAAACCAAGATCTTGGACTGCCATTCCTTTTTATTTTTTTTTTCTCCCACTTTTCTGTTTTTTTTATTTCTGTGATACGAGGACAAAGAAAATGGTTAGAAAAGAAAAAAAGAAGAGGCAATAATACTGTGACTACTATTTCTTCTTAACATGCTCAACCATAAAGAAGGAACAGTAAGTTTGACCTTACAGTAAACAAATAAAAAATGGGACATCTCTAGGGAAGGAAATAGATGATTTAAGGATCAGCACGAAAAAAAGGTTTGAGCTTTACTGATGCTATGTGTATTGTGTGTGCACACACACAAACTATAGCAGCAGAGAACATGGGAGTTTGACAATACCATGTTTAGCAATATTAGAAGCACAGTAGCCGCATTGTTTAGCACTTCCATTAGCGTAAATGTAAGACTGATCAACAAGTACAAGACAGTTGGACTAGTCACCAAACCAATCAACTATGAACTATCAAGCATCAATAAATTGGCTCATTTTCTGAGGATCCAACAGAAACTGTATATATCTATTCAAAGATCAGACTTCACTACCAGCATCTCCTTCGACTTCAAACCAATAAAACCATTGTGCAAGCATCAAAAACATCAAAGAAGCTTGAATTGGACTAGCTTAATAACTAAAAAGAAAACAAGCAATAAGTAATAAGAGGTCAAACTTCAAAACAGCAATAATACCAACAGCTCAAAGTGAAGAAAGCCCCTAAATACAGCAGTAAGGGGTCATTATCTCCTTTCTAACATTTCCCCGCTCACAATTCTAATTATTCAAGAAAAATTAACGGGAAACAGGATAAAACACTGACCTTTGAACTCCAAAGAAGATGCCGAAGTTAGTTATTCAAATACAAAATTCGAAACAGATCAAAGAGACTGGAACTGAAATTTTCTTGGTTCTTAGCCGACTGGAAATTTTGGAATCCCAGCAGTGTTTTAAGTAGAAGCTGGCATGGGTTTAACAGAAGAAGGTAAGCCACCGACTTGTGTGAAGATGGCTCTGCGAACGAGGGTTCAAGTGGGAACCACTCGACCACCGCCTTCCCATACCCTCTGGTCGAAGTGCCCACCATTTTTGTATTAAACTATATTTTTCCTCGAATCAAAGCAAAAAATAAAGAAGAAAGCAGAAGATAAAAGAAGCAAAACATAGATATGACTACATCATTTTCCCCAGGCGAAGGGTTAGGGTAACATAGAGGAAATGAGCTGAGATGACCCTTTCCCAAAACTAACCTTGACCAAAAGGTTATATAAAAATAATTCAAAAACCCCATAAAGCAAGAATACCTTTATACCTTGATTTTTATTTTTGGGGAAAAATTCAAGAAATTCATTAAAAATAGGGACACTTCTTTAAAAATCTTCAATTCTTTTTCAAACTTTCATGTTAGTCCCTACATAAAAAAAATTCACTGCACTCCCTACCTTTTTAATCATTCTTTCACTTAACTCACCCTCTTTAAAATAAATCATAAATAAATGAAGTTATGACATCACCCCACTAAAACTTAACATTATACATTATTTTATTAGTTTCTTATATCTACCATACATAATAATATACTATTTTTATCAATCTTCTTCCCCACAAAAAAACCTCCCCCGTCTCCCTTCCTCCCGTCACCTTCTCCGGCAATATTTTCTTTTTATTTTTTGTTTTTTATTTTTTTTGCAGGTTCATCCTCCGGAGACATCAAATCCGACGAGAAGAACTCTGGCGGCAACAAATCCAGTGAAAGAAGTGATCCGGATGTGAATTTTCTCCGGTGAAAAATTGGTATTTTTCCGGCAACATTTAGCTCTTTTCCAGCCAAAATTTGAAGTAATGAGTAACCTATATATTATATGAGGACTTTGGAGTCCAAAAATCGTCTTTAATTCATATATTTTTAGTTAATTTGTTAAGGTTTCAATTTTAAAAAATGTTGTTTATATTTACCCTAAAACACATAAAGTGATCATAATCTCTTTTTTGTTGTTCATATATAACAAATTGATGCTATTTGTAGGTTATGTTAGGTGTTCTTCACCCTAAAACAAAAATATAAGTTGAGAATGATTATTGTACCAATATTCTTTATTTTTGTACCTCTGTTTGTATATCGTAATACCACTTTAATGTTGTTTGGTACCATATCTGTTGGGAAATGTGAAGTTATTTTTTATTCTATCCAATTATTGTTAGATACATGGAAGGGGCACAAAGTGATACACTAGGGAGTTGTACCTTCAAAAATGAATTGTTTGTGTTCTCTATGCACCTTGGATTAACGTTTGACGAAATGTACACTCTCATTGCTAAGAGGTGGCCGAATGTTAATTTTGAATCCATTATGCTAAGCTATATTGCGCCAAAGGGAAAAAAAAAAAAAAAAAAAAAAAAAAAGAGTTAGTTTGTCCGATGATGGGGATGTAAAAAACATGATTCGGTTACATGTTTGTCTTGAAAGTAAATATTGTAGAGATAGTTGCCATTGAAATAAATGAAAGACTATTCAGTCGCATGAACCTAAGAATTGCAAAACTCAAGGCAAAGGCACCAAACATGCTATAACTCAAGAGTTTCTATAGCATGAAGTCATATGGGGCTGAAACTTCATACAATCAACCACAACAAATGCAAGAACTAGCATAAAAGTTTTTATATAACCTAAGGGATATCCAAGAAACATACATTTAGAAGCCTTAGGATCAAATTTGTTTATGTTTGCAACTACAGTTGAGGAATAGCAAAAACAACCTATAACTTTCATATGATCATAAGTAACAAGTTTGTTAAAAATCATTTCAAAAGGGGACTTTTGGTTAAGAACAGGAGTAGGGATTCTATTTATTATATGTGCAGCCGCAAGAACACAACTAATCAAGAATTGTAAGGGTAAATGGGCATGGAATAAAAGAGCCCTGGCTACTTGTAAAAGATGTTGATGTTTACTTTCTACTCTAGCATTTTGTTGAGGTGCCTCAACACAGGATGTTTGATGTATAATGCCAAAATCATTGTAAAATTGTCTAAGCAAGAACTCCGAACCATTGTCAGATCTGATTATTTTGATTTTCTTATCAAATTGAGTTAACACCATGTTAGAAAAATGAGTGAGGTGTTGTTTATTGTCAAATTTCAAAATAACATGATAAATCCATGTTAGTCTACTATAATCATCTACAATAGTGAGAAAATATTTATAACATAAATAAGATGGGGCTGAAAAAGGGCCCCAAAAATCACAATGGATAAATTAAAATGGAAATTTAGAAATTGATGTACTTTCAAGAAAAGATAGCCTTTCCTGTCTAAAAAAGTGGCACACATCACAGAGAAGTGTGGATTTACATGTAGTTGTAGATGTAAGTAGAGTTTGAAGTTTAGAATAAGACAAATGTCCTAGTCAGTAATGCCATATAGATGAACCAATTTTATAAATAGATATACAGGTAAGCGAGAGTTTAGAAGTAAATGAGAGTTTATAGGTAATCAGTAGCAGATACACTGTTCAGCAGGATAGGATTAGCTATATCAGAAGAATCTAAAGTGGGATGATATAAACCATCTTTAAGATCGACACCAATCGCTTTCTAGTTTGACAGATCTTGTAATATGAAAGAAGAGGACAAGAATTTGACAATGCAATTATTTGTGGCAGCTAGTTTAGAAACAGATATCTGATTAATGAGAAGGATGGAACAAATAGTGCATCATGTGATATCAGGGAATCCACAAGTTTAACTTTTCCAATTTGAGATGCAATAGTATAATTACCATTAGGTAGGTATAATTAACAGACACAAATGTAGCAGGTGATGTATAGTACTCAGAAGCACAAAGCATATGATCAGTTGCCCCAGTATCAAGTATTCAAGTATTTCTAGACTAACTTTTAGCAACGACACTTAGATAAGGTTTAGGCATACCTGATGGCTCAACAAAAGCAGTGGCAACTAGTCTGAGCAAGGGACTTGGAGATTGCCGAACCGTACCGAAAACTGAACCGCATTCACCCCAAACCGAAAAATATCCGTTGACCTTTTGACTATCTCCGAACTGAACTGTACCGAAATTTTTTTTGGTACGGTTCTGGAGATTCATAAAATATCCGTACCGAGAATCGAACCGAACCGGACCGAATCGAATCGTACCGAACCGAAGAACCAATTCAATTCATAAAATCCATATTTCATAATTCATATACATATTACATATAATATTTTATCTTACACTTTATTTTTATCTTTTTACTTAATTGTATTTAAAATTGAATTTCAAAGTAAATTTCATATACATTATGTCTATGTCTAATTGTCCATAAATTTAAATACACTATATTTAAAATTGAATTGCAAATACGCTTTTACTATTGAATGCTAATAGAATTTAATAATTAAAAAACTAATTATTTTAATTATGTACTCCATTCGGCATATGATGCATTATTAAATCTAAGATATCATTTTTGGCATATGATGCATTTGGAGAGAATTATTTATTTAATTTTTGGACTTCGTTTGCTTGAGTTATAAATTGTTTTAAGTATTCTACAAAAAAGTTGTTTTAATTTTGATAAATTAGCCTGATGTGATAAATCTTCTGAAATTTGGTGTCTGAGCTGATTTTGGGATGTAATTTAGTATGTAAAAAGATGAGATTTATTTGGATTCATTTCGGTTCAGTTTTGATGAAAATTTGAAATATGCAGAAACTTGTTTGAATTTTTAAAATTCGTGTATTTGATGTTAATAGCTGAAATTTTTACATGATGTTATTCACATGCTGTAGCTTATGGTGATAA